TTGGAAACTCAATTTTCTAGGAAAGCTCCGGAGAACTGAGTCATAACGCTGAAAATTCAGGCATAAATAAATTGATTATTTTTCATAGGTGGTTAGCCCAAGATATTTCCTACAGAGCGGATGCCGGGCGAGACCTTGATTTCCAATGGTTCAGATGTGGTATTAGATTTCTTTTGAGCCCCATGACTGGTGCTTGGTGGCATTGTATGAAACATACGTAGTCAGCCACACTGAATCTGATGGCAAAGCTCGTTTTTGAAAAATAATTCTAAAACATGAGTTTATGCTGAGATGTTCAGCGTTATGGCTCGGAAAACCGCAACTCTCTAACTACTCAGTCAAAAGTCGTTTAAAAAGTGGCTTTTGTAGTACACTTTTTATAGTCACTACAGCCCCCAAATATACAGTGGGCAATTTATACAAGAGCAGGCAGCAATTTAGACTAGTTTACATTTTTTAACGCTGAAAACACTTTCCCATAGGTAATTCGTGACGCTGAGTCTAAATGGCGCTATCAGAAATCTGCTAGCTAGTTTTGATTTTCCAAGATTTTCCGAAAATGTTAAATTTCGCTTATTTTCCATGAAATGAAGTACTAAATCACACATTTTGAGAATTTTCACCACGCTACGACTGGCGAAGATGTCGAAGCTGCTTCTCATGCACTTAGGATTTTCCAGAAAAGATCAAAATCTTTTTTAAGAATGAGGCTCGAGACTAACTTTTCCCGAGAGGAAAGGACTTCGGATAAAAATTCTTTTGCCGTTAGATAGCCCGTCACTTGAAGTATATAGGCCAATCTTCAAATCAAGAAAAATCAAACTTCATCTTTTTGACCAAATTGCTGCCTAATTGCCCACTGTGCANGAATAGTTTGCATAATATCGTTTTCGCTTTATTACCATGATTAAAACAACAACCAAGTTATTAATAATAATTTATTTTCTTGTTTTCTCATACGATCGTAGGGAATGTAGTTACGAGTGGACACTTGTTTACTTGCAAATTTTCATGAGTACTTGGCAAGCACATGACAAGTATTTTCAAAAAATACTACTTGATAAATGCTTGAAAGCACATGCCAGGTATTTAATTCACTTGTTGAATCTTCCACAGATACTTGGAGGTTACTTATGCAAGTGCTTGGCCAAGAACTTGACAAAAAGATGAAGTAATTCAAGTACTGGATTTTCCTGCAAGCACTTAGTTTACTTACGAAAACCGCAAGAACGTTGGAGAAAACTTGCGAGGGTACTTGACCAAGTACTAGTATGCAGGTACATTCACTAGGGTAGTGTACAAGGTTTATTGACTTCATTAACAAAATTTTATTTTACCTATTCAATTGGTCAAACATCTAGAGAGAGAGAGAAATTGCATGCGCTAAGAAAAAAATATTGTGACAAAACAATACAATCTCATTTTAAATCTAAATATTATTTTATGATCGGAAAATCAAACATCTAGCTTGATGAAAAGAAAACAAATCGGTGAGAAAAGCAAATACAGAAATGAAAAAAGTGAAATCAATTTCTTCGAAAGGAACATTGTCAAACGAGAAAGATAAATACATAAATCAAATAAAAAAGACACTAGACTTTTTTTAAACAGAATTTTACTACCGTTAAATAAACTCATAATATGGTTGAAAAGATAAACGTCATTCAACAGGTTATGAACAGTTCTCCATAAATCCAAAGTTGTAGATCTTATAGTCTGACAACAGCAGCACTGCGAGTTTTTTGTTAAAATCCTCTAGAAATTGAATTTTTATTCATTCTCTGTTTCGAAGCTTTGAATTATATAAGAATCGACAGAACAAAAACACACTGATTAGTATAAACTAAATTAATGTGAAAATATTGAAATTTAGAAATAATAAAAAACTAATTTTTTATTCTAAGACACTTTAAAGCAAACAAACGTTACTCATCTAAAATAAACTTCAACGCCATTTTGAAGTACAAAAAGATGAGCTATTTTAAATTGAAAAACAACCTTTAGAAAGGGTTCGCGATACAATTACAATAAGGGTGTTCCCAAGCACCGAAAAAACTTCGATCATCGTTCAATGCATCTGAGATACGGCAGTTTCCTGATCAATGCCGTTAAATGCAGATAATTGTTTCTCACGATGAAACTAGATAACAGTGCCCTATAGTGATATTTACATCGTGTAACACTGAGTGGAACTTGCCCTAGAGAACGTACTTGTGTCTAAGTACTCCGCTTGCGTAATGAAGCCGATACTTTTCTTTTTTCCAGAAGTAAATTTACTTGTAGATTATTTCCAAGGTAATATTATTCGAGTGTTTTTCTATATTCACTTTGTAAACTTATATTATTCTATGTCTGAAGTCCACAACGACACGTTTTTCTAAGCACAGTATAGTATTCATGTAAACAGATAGTGGCGAGCGGTCCTAATCTGCCTCATCCAAGCAACTACGGATTTTAACCCTATTTTTAGTTTATACCTGCTTTTTAACTTTTCTAAAGCAGAACTAAAACATTATGTTCCCGAAGAGACCGGGTAAAACATGGTGAAATCAGTATGTCAATTACCTTAAGAATCATTTTGTTTTGAGAGATCTCGTATCAAAAGTTTTTCTTTTTCACCCTTTCTTTATATAGAAATCGCTACATAAGAGTCCATCGACATTAAGATAAACTGTTTGTTGGATTTGGAAATATAACGTGTTCAATTAACTCTTTTTAAAAACCCTTTTGACTTTTTGCTCAAACTGAAACCGTTCACTACTTGAAAAACCAAAAACGATGTTTCCCTAAACGCATTTGGTTTAGGGAAAAACCCTTCTGATTTTTATCAAAGCTAGAAAACTCGTCGACTAAAACCTTTTTTAGTGTTTTGGTTAAACAGAAAAACTCTGTTGGTTTTTAAATATGCTTTTTCCGGTTTAGGGTGATAAAAAAGGCCTTACTTGCATCAAGTCCGCTCTCTAAGGTGATGCACCTGGATAAGTCAATTTTTTTTATTCTTTTATCTACATGTCTTGCTAGACCATCTGGCATGCTCCATCAAGAACATCTCGATTTTTCTGTTAGGCAATTTTTTGTATGAGTTGAAGCAAAAATCAGCAAAAATATAGACATCATTCAAGTCAAGAACAGAATTAGGTTTTTATCAAAATAAACAGCGTATTATGATTACCATGAAAATTTGAGTGACTCGTTCTGAAACGCTCTTCAAGATATCAAGTTTTTAATGCCACACAAATCTTAAAATAGTAATTCTCTGTCTTATAAGAAAACCGATTTATTCGTATTCTTAGATAAATAAAAAACGTTATAAAGTAGTTTGCCTTAGCACCCGTAAAATTTCGTGTCGAATGAGATGTTTTTTCAACTCTTGCATGAAACAGGTGTTTCAAAAATATGACTTTAATTCAGTAGAGTTAGCGAATCTAGTGTTAATTGAAATTACATAGTTAACTAGAGATCAATTGCGCTGCGCACAAATTGCGATGTCGACAGATTGTATCGAATCTGAATCTGCCAGAAGCGGTCCGCAGTCAACAGAGACTTCACCACGTCACATTCGTTGTGGTTTTAGTTACTTTAAAAGATAAATTTAAGAAAAATGAATCGGAAACAATATTTGAAGAAGAGAGAGAATTATTCTTCCCCTGAAGAACAAATGGCGCCGGACGACCGAATATATGAAAAATTCAAAAGTCCAAAATACATTCTTCTTTCACCTGTGGCGCTTATGGCATTGAATCTGGACATTTATTTGAGAGAAAAATTCATATTGATCAATCTTCAACGTCGGGAGAGTATCCTACATTTTCCAGAACTTTTCCAACTTTCTTAGTTCTCTAGATCACAAGGTGCACATTTTGCCTAAAAAAGGGATGAAAGACAGAAAGGAAGAAGAAAATGACTCGAATGCAATTGCGCTGTGCACAAGTTGCAATGTCGACAGACTCCGTCTCTGACGGAACCTACCCTTCCAAGGTTATACATATTATGTCGAACTTAACGGCCTTTTAGAAATCAATGAAGATATTTTGAATAAACCAGTTTGTAGAGAATTGAAAGAGCTACAAAACAGGCTATTTTGGAAAAATGGATTTTTTCGTTTTATTGCAAAAAGTTAGCTTAAACGATGTATAGGTCGCATTTTTCCCTAAACATACATGTTCTGTCGAGCTTAACGACCTTTTGCAAACCAATGAAGATATTGTGAATACACCACTTTGTAGAGAATTGAAAGAGCTTTCTAATTATGGATTGATTTCTTTATATGCTCCTATAATGCCAGAGAAAAGCGTATGAGAAGGATTTAATGGTGCTCTGTAATCGCAGCTTTCAAGTAAAGATCCTATCTGGATCGAACGGCTTTGACCACTCGAAACCATCCACAATCAAACGTTCATAGTTTTCTGCTGCTCATAGGACCATTTTGAGCACAAAAAATGTGGAGCGATTCTTTAGTTTGTACGCATCCGACCTTTCTTCAGTACTTTTTCTTCAAATGATTAGTGCTTTCAATTACAAACGTACATTCACAATGTGATACTTTTCTTTCGTCGGATAAATTTATATAACAAGTTTTATTAAGTGCAAGTAATGAAAAAGTTCAATTAAATAAATATTTTTAAATGTATCTTCGCTTTTGAATAAGATTAAACATAAAAATACACTTTTGTTCTTTGCTTTCTTCTATTAGTTTCAAATAGACTATTTGAGCCACAGGGCGTCTGTTTAATGTCCTGCTGAGACATTTACAGCGTCATTCGGTTGCAATAGAAAAACATTCGTTTTTTCTCAATCACGAAGTTTCTTGTGTTTATATACTGAGACATCACGTGACAGACAAAAGTCAACAGAAGTTATTTCTCGTATTTTTTAAAGTTTTTTCCTGCCACATTCGCTCAAAAGAATAAACGAAAATATAAGAAACTAATAATGTTCGTTTTTTTGCCAATAAAGGAATATTATTGAACTACTATTAGATAAAGCTTTATGTTACTAGGATGACAGCAAGTAATGGTCAACTACCATCATTCAAGAATTGTCCAATATGTGAAAATCTATCTGAAGGCAAAGTTAAGCCGGGTATTTTGACATGCGATGGTTGTAAACAACAATTTTGTTATCCACATATGGGCACACATCGACAAGAATTATCCAATTCCTTAGAATTGCTTGTCTATCAACGTAATCAATTAGCAATTATTAACGCTCCAGATTTATCATCAAATGAAAAATTTAATTTAAATGAACAGAATGATCGTATTGATAAATGGGAATCTGAGACAATCGATGTGATACGAACAGTAGCAAACCAGATACGTGAAAATTTAATTGAAACAGCAAATAAACATCGTGAATCTATTAAAATCTCCTATGATGAACTCACACAAGAATTAAATACATATCGTGAAGCTGAAAACTATTTTGAATCAGATATACATCTGTTAACAGAAAAACTGAACAAATTAGCGTTGCATATTGATAGTTTCCAAACAAGATTCAAAATAGAAATAAATGATAATAAAATTGATTGGACAAAATTAATTCAAATAAAAGATGAAGGTGAACAAATGAAAACCGACAATAGTGTGATCAACAGTTCGTCAATTATCGTCGACCAACCGCAATTACCACCGGTTTTATCGCGTATTGAAAGCCTGTTCGCTAAATGTCAGCCGAACAATCGGCTACAAACACGTATTGATGGCCAAATGTGTGCAGGTGACAATATTCTTTTATTTTTCCGCAGTAAAAAGTTATGGATGATCACATGTGAACCTATGATGTTTTCTCAGCAACTTATCCAATGGGAATATGATTCAATTATCGATATATTGTGGTCAACATATTTGAAGGATTTTATTGTTTTAACAGGGAAGAAGTTGATAAAATTTTCATCGAAACAAGAACTAGAAACCCCCAATAGCGGCATGCGAACATGTATTAATGCATATAAACATAAACTTTTTCTAATTCGTAACGACCCTTATAATAATAATTGTATTGAAGAATACAATATGGCTGATCGAAACTGGTCAAATCCACTTAATTATTGGCAGCCACCTGTATCTTGTGCAAAAATGGAAAAAATTAATCAGATCTCTGCGAATGAGCAATATGTCGCATTAATTATTTTATGGACTCACGATGAAAGGAAAGGACCTGTAGAATTTCGTAAATTTGAATTACGAAATCACTCAATGTTTTTGCTTCGAAATATTAACTTGGAATACTGTTGTTCACCGCTATTATTGTTACCAGATCAAAATCAATGGCTTATGGGAAGGCGTGATCGTGCTGGTACCTTCGTTACCATTGACGAAGAATTGAAAACGCGAAAACAAACAAACATATTGTCACTTCCAATAGACACTATTCAGTTTATGATGAACAAAAATAAGTTAGATATGGTCGTCCGTTACTATGCTATTAGTCAGGATCGAACCATAACACATACAATTGAGTTTTACGATTATTAAATTTATTTGACATTGTACATCTTTCTCTAACCTTTTATTGAGGACCAAGAACACTTGAGAGTATACGATTATGTATATCTTATTAGAAAATTGCACTCTATTCAAAAATTTACCTTTATAAAACAAAAATTATTTTTAGAGATTTTGAGAGGTTTTCAATGAAAAATCAAGGGTTTCAGAAGATCTTCTCTTACATCAAGAGCTGAAAAGTTAAAATTTTTTTGTTTTTTGTTTTGAAGTTGTTAAACTATGTAGTTCAAATGTGAAGCTTGCCAAAATTCTATTTCAATAACTTCAGATTTTCTAAGAGCATTGTAGCAATCCTGCAGGCTTTGCAACTGTGAAAATAAATATTGTAGTTGAAACTAAACTTTTCATTGATTTTGTATTCTAATTTTACTTTATTATTAGTAATATTTATTCGTTTCTAATAAGATATACATAATCGTATATAAAGTTTGTTTGCTTTAAAGTGTCTTAGAATAAAAAATTAGTTTTTTATTATTTCTAAATTTAAATATTTTCACATTAATTTAGTTTATACTAATCAGTGTATTTTTGTTCTGTCGATTCTTATATAATTCAACGCTTTAAAACAGAGAATGAATAAAAAAATTCAATTTCTAGAGGATTTTAACAAAAAACTCGCAGTGCTGCTGTTGTCAGACTATAAGATCTACAACTTTGGATTTATGGAGAACTGTTCATAACCTGTCGAATGACCTCGTTTCTTGGTCAAGTACCCTCGCAAGTTTTCTCCAACGTTCTTGCGCTTTTCGTAAGTAAACTAAGTGCTTGCCAGGAAAATCCAGTACTTGAATTACTTCATCTTTTTGTCAAGTTCTTGGCCAAGCACTTGCATAAGTAACCTCCAAGTATCTGTGGGAGGTTCAAGAAGTAAATTAAATACCTGCCATGTGCTTTCAAGCGTTTATCAAGTAGTATTTTTTGAAAATACTTGTCATGTGCTTGCCAAGTACCCATGAAAATTTGCAAGTAAACAAGTGTCCACTCGCAAATACATTCCCTACGATCGTATGAGAAAACAAGAAAATAAATTATTATTAATAACTTGGTTGTTGTTTTAATCATGGTAATAAAGCGAAAACGATATTATGCAAACTATTCCAGTACTATCATTTAGCCGTCAGTGTCCATAAGCAAACGGCCGTCGTATTGCACAGTGGGCGATTAGGCAGCAATTTGGTCAAAAAGATGAAGTTTGATTTTTCTTGATTTGAAGATTGGCCTATATACTTCAAGCGACGGGCTATCTAATGGCTGATCTTTTTGTACTTCAAAATGGCGTTGAAGGTTATTTTAGGTGAGTAACGTTTGTTTGCTTTAAAGTCTCTTAGAATAAAAAATTAGTTTTTTATTATTTCTAAATTTCAATATTTTCACATTAATTTAGTTTATACTAATCAGTGTATTTTTGTTCTGTCGATTCTTATATAATTCAAAGCTTCTTCTTTTCTTTCTTTTCTTTTATATTTATTGACAACAAACAGAAAGTAATAATAAAAGATGTTACATTGTGTCAAAGGAGGTACATCAAAAAGCATGAGGGCTTGTAACAACAA